CCTCCCCCTGAACAGGTAATGTTTTTCAGTATTTTCATACTCTTCTGATCTGTTACTTCTAGTTTAAAATGCGTTAGAAAAGGAAAACCTAAGAAGGTTCCTTAGAAGGATGAGAGTGCAGTTGCTGAACTTGTTGTGCCGTAAATGCTTCTCCCCTTCCTGCTCCTCTGAAAAGTGTAACTTGATAACTTGGGTAAATAGTGACTTAGTGACATCCTGCAGCATCCGTGTCTGAATTTATTTTTTGTGTGTGTGCGTGTGTGGTTACCACTTTGAAGTGAGCCAGGCATCCAAAGTACAGAAGTTTGAAAAGTGGCTGTTGCTGAACGTTTCAGGAGTTTTGTTTCTTTCAGCCTGCAGTTTTTTGATTCCTGTGAAAGGTATTTAGCAAGTTTGTGGTCATCAGGCTTGAGTTCATTGTACAAACTTTAAATCTCCATTGGAAAAACATTTGTTTGACCTCTTTTGACTTGCAAACTTGGGAAAAGACACTCCCAAGCGGTGTTGCTGCAGAGGATGATAAGAAATCTGTGTGGTGTGTTTTGTGACAGTGTATTAGACCCTGTTTCTGACCCCCGTAGGCAGTCAGTGCACCTTTGAAAGCATAAAGGTTGCTGCTGACTGTAACTTGTTCTCGCCATGCAACTTGTGAATGGTGGTACTTGTGGGTAACATCCAGCCATGAGTGAGAACCAACAATTGGATTTCTCTTTCACGGATGATCGCTACTGTATGTTAACCATATATAAAACTCAAAACGAAAGGTTTTGACTCATTTTTGTCACGTCTCCATTTCCACCCACACCCAAACCATCACCTGTTTTTTGGAAGACTGGGCATACAAATGTTTGCTCTCTGATTCCCTTTTTTTTAAGAATTACTTTTTTAAAAGTTTTATTTAATTTTTTTTTTTAAATAAAACCCAGTTTCTAGTACCTTCTAGTCTGATTTAATCATGTCTGGGTATAACTAATTAACTGTTGTCAGTGCAAGAGGTTTTGATTAGCTTGCTTGGTTAAGCTGGTGTATTTTTCTTCAAGCAGTCAGACATAGGAATTTCATGGCAGTATCTGAAAAAACAGGTAATTTCTTCCAGAGTCTTGCTGAGAAATTCGGGAGGAATCTGCAAAAGGTGGGGATAGCACCATTGTCTATCTGTGGGGGTCCCTCAATGGGAGGAGGTTTCCACAGCCAGGGCATAGTGGTGGCCTGTTGGCTGATCTGGTCGGGATGGGGTTTCAGTGCTGTCCAGTAGCCTTCAGGTCCTTGTAGGTTTTTTTCTTCCTTTTTGTCTCTGGTTATGGCCCTGACTTTCCGAAGGGGTTTTCCTAAGGTTCTGTCCTTAGTTGGAGGCACAGACCTCCAAGTAAGATGCACCTTCGCTTTTCAGTGGCTGCTCCAGCTGCACATGGTCTTCACATGCTGCTCCAGCTTACGCTGGCTTTGTACCATGTGGTGGCTGGGTGGTGGAGAAGGTGGTCAGTAGGCAAGTAAGCAGGTGGGGGATAAGGAACCTTTTTTCTTCCCCCCCCTGGCTGTGTGCTGCATTTATTGAAATCTTCATCAGTTCTGCTCGTTCCTGCTAGGCAGGTCTCATGCAAATACACAGAGCTGGACCATGTGAGCAGAGAGACTCTGCTTTCCTTCTGGGAGTCTGAAATGCACAAATTGTTTTGCTCTGTCTTTGCCTCTGATGTTTTAGTCTTGAGACTTAGTCAGCATGGTTGTTAATTACCTGTAGTGGAAGATTGCTGGATACCAGCTATCCTACTTCAGCTGAGTACAGTAAAAGAAGGAATTGCTCAGACTGATAGTATGTTAATATGGGAAATAACAGTATACTATATGTTAATTTGCTTGTATATCTTGGAGTCTAGAATATCTCCCTCTTGATGAAGCACTGCTAGGTTGGCAAAGCAAAAGAATGATATCTGCTGTTCAGAAGTCAAATTTTATACTTTACCAAATGTAGAGCATTATGCTCATGATACAGCATCTTTTTCACATTCATGAAAGATGAGTTCCTTCATGTTCAGTAAAATCACTTTCTTACCCATAAAATCAGAAACATATTTTATTTTCAACTCAAATAACTGTGCCAAACCAGATGTTTCCTGGAAAACAGCATGTACAATACATTTCCATGTAAATGTACTTACTGAGCTGATTTGCTTGTCTCTCCTCCAAAATGCATGCATGTGTGTATATCCATGATAGAAAGTTAAACAGTTTTTATTTTTAAACTGATGGGAGAGGGAATATCAATATTGCAACTGAGGTAATGTTTTGGATGTGCAATATTTGAATGGACGATCCTTCTGTGTGTTTCAGCTCTTTCATCTCCTTTTGCCTTCTGTTGCATATAAAAATATAATTAACGTAAATGATTTAAGGACAAACAACACTGGATTTTCTAGAGAGAGAAGTGTATTGGAGTCAAACATACTTTAGTGAATTCAATGCTTTCTTGCTTGCTTGTTTTTAATAGCGGAAAACAGCTGAAGGGTCACTGAGGCAGCTGGGTTTGTGTACTCGGTAGGTGTATCGGCATTCCTTGAACACGTTTTTGTGCCTATGCTTTAAGCTGCGTAGTGAACTAATCATTCTTCCTTTGAACAATACAGTTGCTTTACCTCTGAAAATTTTTGAGCTAAACAGTTAGTGCCATATATTTATCCAGTAGTTAAACTATAGTGCAACTTGTTACTGCTGATAACAGGGACTACTTTCTCTATTTCTGACTGCTAGGAGGAAAATACCAATTATTTTATTCAAGTAACACTTAGAATGATGCACTATGTCTTGCAGTGCTATGCTTAGTAATTTTTCCATGTTTTCAGGTGTATCAACTAATACTCTTACAGCGAAGAACAGGATGTGAATGATTTAATGACAGGTTCCAATATAAGTTTTTTGAAATATAGTATTTTATTCCAGTAAGCAAAAGTAAATTAATTATCTTGTTCTTAGCTGATGTGGCGGTGCTGATCATCCCCATTTTCCACCTCTCATTTTTGTCACTCTGGAGGTCTGTGGTTCTTGGATTTCAGGGAATCTGTGTAAGGTGAGCTCCAGGCTCTATACTTCTCAGGCACTCTTCTTCGGATGGCACAGCAGGAGAATAGTCTGTGCAAGATGTACGTGTTTCTGCAGTTCTTAGGTTTGTATTGGAAATTTGTGCCTATGTCTGTGTGTTTTAGTCTACTGCATCTTGATTTTTTTTTTTTTTTTTCTCTACAACAAAAATGCATGGTTCCTCCCCATGCCTTTGCTGTTTCTGTTGATCCTACCTCGGCTGTATGCGGCCCCATGGGTGTCTGCTGGAGCTGAGCTGCATGTGTCAGTTTGCTCTGTAGCTGAGGCTTCCTTAGGCAAGAAACTCGGGCCTCAGGTGTCGGGCCTGTGCTGCTATGCACACTTTTTTTTTGTTTGTTTTGCGTTTGTTTTGTGTGTGTGTGTGTGTGTGTGTATGTACACGAAGAGGCAGCATTTTCAGGAAGCCATGTTTTACTCTTAGGCTCCATATATACCCCACCTGCAAATATGAACAAATTCACAATCTTTTCAATGAGCAAATAGATTTGAAACCTTTACCAGTCTGGCAGTATTGTGCACTCCCTGCTGAGAAAAGAGGAAGATGGATTATATCTTAAAATTGAATGCAGAGGGTGCACATGCACACGTAGGTATAGGTGTGCTGTTGAAGGACTTAAGAGCTGGACATACAGTAGAATCAGGATTTCTGGTACCTGCTGGCATCACCTTCTTCCCCTGTGAATTACAGTGTATGTCCATGTATAAACCCTTTGAGAGTTGCTGCCATTTATTAATTTTTAAATACATCACAACCTGTGAATTGCATCTGTAGGGAAGAAGTTAGTTAATTTAAGAGCATGCACCTTCAGGTACAATATATTAATAGTAAATGTACCCATTTCAGATTTAGTTAGTGTCTTGCGATGCATCTGTGTTTGCTGTCTGTTTGATCTGTGCTCATTTTTTTGCTGGCTTTTGTTTGTGGGAGTGCAAAAAGAAAAAAGGTTGATTTCAGTTTACAAAAGAGCAGTCTGTTACAAACTGTGCCCAGGGTTACCAGTGGAGTTTGAGGATTTGTTGAGCTAGTTGCTATTACTCTCATTAAGACCAGATTTTATCATGTCATAGGATGAATATGGCCTATTTCAAAGAGAAATGAAACTGCCCTTTGCCCCTGCTTTTCTGTTAAGATGGGCTGTTCCACAGAAACAACCCAAGTCTCAATAGCCACCAGTAGTACCCTTGGTACTGCTCGTTTGTTAAAGTGAGGTTACTTATTTTCTATTAGGAGCAGAGAAAGCAGCTGAGGATCAAAACAAATATCACTTAATACAATTTACCATTGAAATCAACAGAGTGTCTGCTAATTTTTTAAAATTATTTTTTAGATTATTCTTAAAGTAATTTGGTTCAATCTGATTTATTAATTTATTCACAAGCTTAGAACCAAAAAGTTAAAATAGTATTATCAGAGGGCATAAGTTGAAACTACACAAGTTTGGAAAGCAAAGTGCAAATTACTCCTGAAACAGTGAAACTAACTTTATTATTTTCTGACTAAATGAGATAACAAGGAATCTGTCGTCTATCTGTGGGCCAGTGTTGTCTAATTAGCTTTTTGGGTGGAATAAATGATGAAAGGATGGCTGGTTTGTTCTGTTTATTGAGGCTTTTCATTATATTGTTAGGAATATTCAAGACTTCCCCCTCAAGTCCATGTGAAACTTTACGTACAAGCTAATAGTATGAGATGCCCTTTCTTTGTCTTTCAGATGGAAATAATGTAGATAGTGTGCCTTCCTTGCTGGGTGTAGTCCTTTCAGCTAACAGCTGTTGCCTTATTGCAGTAGAAGTTTCATTGTGTGTACAAAATGGCTGTAGCAGAGGATGCAATATAACATGTCTATTTTAATTTGCAGGTTTCCACACTGTTGTGGTTCTTTGGGTTTGTTTTTTTTCTTGAAATGGTAGGGCTAGGAAACAGCTGCCGAGGGATGAAGTCTCCATCTCTCCTTGTGGCTGTGCTCATGGCATGCATCATTGTTTTGGGTTTCAATTACTGGATTGCAAGTTCTCGCAGCGTGGATCTGCAGGTAACTTTCCTATTGCTCTGCATGTTGTTTTGTACTTGCATGGTTAATAAGCATAGTCCATAAGAAGGACGCTTCCCCTGCGTGTAGTGGGAGCTTCAGCTTGTTGTAGGAATTTTCACAAATATTACAATTGTTGCTTATCAGTAGTGGGAGTGAGGGGAATGGGAGGAATGCCTGTTTGTAGGTGAGGATGACCCAAAACTTTAAGACCTGCATGTATGGTGCTTGTTACTTGTGCTTACACAAACAGTTCAGCTATCTTGTGCTGTTTCAGTTTACACTTGTGGCAAATGCCATCTTCTGTTTTTCTTCCTAACTGTACATTGAGACTGGCACTCCGTTTTTTAATCTGAATGGGCATCTGCAACTTGCTTATCTCCCTAGATTTTTTTTTTCTTACATGACTCATAAGAATGTATGCATACTGTCCCACCAAGTACAAGGAAATCTAACTTGTTCAGAACAATGTCTAAAAATCTGAATTTGTGTTCCTTAGAAACCTTACCTAAAGAGGACGCACAACTCATGTGGAGTAATTAACTTGTCTGCTATTTTTCTAATGGTAACTGTATTTTCTGTGACTGTTCAGCTTGGGTTTTAATTCTTTCTGCAGTGCACGTGCTGAAGTTGAGTAGTACGTGAATAAAGTTCCTGGTTTGTGAAAATGTTACAGGATGGTTCCCTTTTTTTGTTGTTGTTGTTGGTTTTTTTTTAAACAAGCAAACCTAAAAACTAAGAACCTGGTGGTTAAACATGGCTGATGAGAGCTCCTCCCAAGTTTTTCCACTGAATTTGTATCCTGTTTGTAACTGAGCTGAATTTTAGTACTGGGTTGACAGCTGTAGGAATTGAACTCCTGTTTCACCTCAGAGAGGGCACTAGTCAAACAGGACACATTTGTGTCATGTCTGGCCATGCGGTTAAGGGTATGTCTTAGCTTTCCCTTGGTGGAGGGTATGATGCTCTGTCTTCTGGGACTCCGGTCATCCCTTGTTTTCCCTTTAGTCAGTGGCCTCGGGATGGTGGCTACTGGCAGGTAGTGACTCTGTCAGTACTGCTGAAGCTTTGCTGCATGGCTGTGAGGCAGCTGATAGTGAGGAAAATAAGCTACCATAGTAGCTTACTCTTGATCTCAGTAACCTAGAGACACAAGGTCCTTCTTCCTGTTATTGATTCACTGTATTGTCTTGTACATTTCTCCCATAGCTTGAAAGTCGTTTCACTTCTGCATGGTCATGCACTCTGAATGAAATAAAAGCATAGCTGAAGGCACGGATAGAGCTTCTAAAGCACTATGTCAACCCATTTGTTTGTTGGCAAGACTTTGCAGCTGTTATGACTGAAATGGAATAAGTGCTTTTCTTTGCTCTTTCAGCTCAACTGTTAAGTCTTTTTCTCTCCCCCCCCCTCCCCCCCCGCTCCTCCATTCTCTCCCTTTCTGTGGCAGAGAAGCAGAGTAGGTGGGCAGTAATATGCAGCATACTGTGTCGTAAGAACATTTGGTCCATTTTCTTGGAGTCTTGGAAGATGTGCAGTTTTTATTATATCTATTTTTTTAATCCACCTGGAATCCCCAGGTCTTTCTGCCTGGGTGAATTCTGTTGATATTTTCCCCCTGTGTGTCGTTCTCTTCCTTGCTGCTGAAGAGTGATTTTAACCCAAAATGTTTAGCAACAACGTGCAGCAAAATTAAATCAGTGCTTTAAAAAAAAAACTGTGATAGTATCAGGCTTGATTCTTTACCTTATGTCTCTGTGTTTGTATGTGCAGTATGTGATGGTGTTGAATTTTCCTCTGGTTGTCACTGCTCTTTGAGCAATCAAGAAGAACGATGATCTTCTGCTTATAAATTAGTTTTTCTTGTACGTGTCTTTCTGTAACAGCCATACATCAGTTGTTTATGTAGAAGTTGGGCAATGTTGTCCTCCCTCTACTCCTTCTCCTATTGATTTGAGAGATGAGTTTTCCCTCTGAGTTAGTTTCCCACAACACTGGGAAGTGCAGTGATGTCTCCATTAAATTTAAAAGATGGTTTGACCTTGTACTTCAGAAAGCTTGTAGACTGCATTTTTTAATGTGTTTTTTTTGGGCGGGGGGTGGAGGTTTAAGCTCAAGTACTGAGGCAGCTTTGCATTTCTCTTGTCTTTAGCTGCAATTTTGATAGTCTCTACAGAATATGCTGTACTGTTAATTTATCTAAAACTGGGAGGGGGGTGTCTGTGTGTGTGCATGTGTCTCTGTGTATGTGGCAGGTATGCCTGGCTGACACAATACTTTGATGACATTAGCATTGTTAGTTCTGTGAAATTTGGTATTCTTTGAATGTATTGGAGAAGAGTCCGGCAAGGGGGAAGTACTTCTATTTGCTTTGGCTAATTTGCTCTTCCTCAGGGTCGGATCATGGAACTGGAAGTCAAAGTCCACAGGGCGGCAGTGGAGAGAGGTGCTGTGGAGCTCAAAAAGAATGAATTCCAAGGAGAGCTAGAGAAGCAGCGACAGCAGATTGACAAAATCCAGTCCTTGCACAGCTTTCAGATGGAAAATGCCAACAGAGTACATCAGGAAGAGAAGGTAGGGCCTTTTCTAGCCGCAGTTTTCTGTGAGGCTGTGGTTTACCAAGACACTCTCTATAACAGAATAAAGTTGCTCAAATGTTCCAGCTGATGGGCCTACAGTCAGTGTTGGTGTAGCAAAACATTTAATTTGTGTATCATTGTATAATATTTAGAAAATGGACATTGAATGCACATTATAGCATTCATTGTATAATATGTGAAATATTAGAAGCTGCGAGTAACAGCACTTCTGATTAAAATCTCTACCCCTCCATAAATCATTGTTACCAAACTTGGGTTGTCCTCTGGCTTCCTTTCTTGCATACTAATGTTTTAAAACTTAAGGAAAAGAAGAAGCTGCACCAACAGATATATTTGTTTTCCCAAATATGTTTGTGTATTTGTAGGCATAAATGGTTGATGTTTATTTCTAAATGCATGTCATGGTTTAAGCCCAGCCAGCAACTAAGCACCACGTGGCCGCTTGCTCACTCTCCCCTGCCCCCTGTGGGATGGGAAGTAGAATTGGAAGAAAAAGGTAAAACCTTGTGGGTTGAGATAAGGACAGTTTAATAGGGCAACACAAGGAGAGAAGTAATCATAATACTAATAAAAGAATGTATAAAGTGAGTGATGCACAATGCAATTGCTCACCACCCGGAACCTGATGGTCAGCCCATTCCCAAGCTGTGATCCCTTGCCCCCCCAGCCAGCTTCCCCAGTTATATACTGAGCGTGATGTCATATGGTATTGAATATCCCTTTGGCTAGTTTGGATCAGTTGTCCTGAGTGTGCCCCCTCCCAACTTCTTGTGAAAATTAACTCAATGCCAGCCGAACCCAGGACAACACATTACAAATTTTGTGGCACCTTGGCCTTCTGCCTCCAAAACCCAATAACACCGGGAGTCATCAGAAGGTTAGCCTAGCCTTTTGTGGCAGTGCTTCTGACAGTGCGGCATTGCCAGAGGGATGGAAGTCCTTTGTGAAGAATGTGAAAATACCTACTTAAATAGTGGTGTGTACGATTACTGCTGCGTAGTATCTTGCAAACTGTTTTGTTATGTATTTTCCTTATGTTGCTGATGCTGCCTTGGATGTAGCTGTTAGTCATTAATACCACTTTTCTCACTGTTGCTGGAAGTATTTAGCTGAGAGTATTCATTCTGGGTTTATTGCTTCTCCTCTAGAGTCTCTTGACTGAAGTTTATAGAGCAGCTTTCCAGGACTATTATTTTCAGCAGACTGAACAGACACAACTGATGATGATAATAGGTGCTCTTCAGGTAAAGGGGTTCACCATTAGGTGACAGTTCACTGCTCAAAACCTGCAGTGCATGAAGAAAATATCACCAGAATAATCTTTGAAGGATGAAGAAAAATGGAATAAAAATGGAAGGTGGAATTGTTTCATTAATATGCACATCAGTAGCATATATTTTTAATTTATTTTGAAATCATTTTTATCCAAGATCTTCAAAGAAATAATAAACCAGTTCTTTTTACCTCTTTTGAGACAAATGTGTTTCTTTGATTATTTCTCTCTTCTCTTTGGGTTCAGTCTTTGTGTATTCTTTAAAAAAGGTGAGGTATAGTTTGTCTATTTATTTTTTTAAATGTGTGTATTCATTAAAAAGATACCTCAGGACAGTCAGACAGCATTTGAGTGAGTAATCAATCTTGTTGTCACTTCTGCTTCCTAATAGTGGGTATTGCTACTGAGTGCTGTGGGAATTGTATAAATTTACTATCCTCTGGGAAGGTACCCTAGTTTACATGTTGGTGAAACCCATCATTCTGTTTTGGCATCTTTCTGCATTCAAATTCTGTTGTGCAAGGAGTGAAAGCATATGCATGAGTTTAAAAAAAAAAAAAAAGGCAAGAAAAGGGCAAACAGAACTGAGTATTTGCTTAATTTACAGTCTTTTTTACAAGGGAAATGCATTTTATGCTTCCTTTTCATAAGTAGATTTTCCTTTATCCAGAATTATTAAAAGTCACTGGAATTGGAAGAGCTGGCCACAGAGTTTACAGCACAGGCTGGCCAGATGGGTAGATGTCGAGAGCTGGTGACAGGAGCTCACCCAGGAGTTTTGAGGATGTTCGGTGGATGAACTGTTCCTTCTGCCAAGCATAGTGTACAACCTTTTGGCTTCAAATGGCCATGGAACCAGAGAAATGTAGCTGGCACCACACAATCTACCTTTCTTTTTGTGGTGGTGTTTCTGAGTCTAGAGGACATGTAGGAGCTGTCGGCCATTAAATCTGGCATCTGTGCCAGGAAAAGTGGTGGGAACTATTTTACAAAACCAGAACTGCTGCTGGACATGGAAGTGAATGCGGTAGTCTGGGGAAGAATCAAAGCATCTTCTGGAAGAGGAAATCTTACTTCTGAAGTCTCTTGGAGTTTACTTCTGAAAGAGTAGTTGACAAGGATGAGAGAGACTAATGAATGCATTCACACCTGGAATTGCAAAAGGCTACACACGCATGGCTTGTAGAAAAATTATGCAGCCACCTGGTAAGATGGTGTTATCACAGGGGTGGATGATAAGGCAAAAGTTAGAAAGCAGTTTAGAAATAAACTGGGTTAGTTGTACTGTGGGGAGGTCACTGGTGGAGTTTTGTAGTGCTGGAGAAGGCATGCAGAGGAGAACAAGGAGGATAACCACAGCTGGGCTGTAGTTCCTGTATAAGAATCCACAGTGTGGGTTACAAGATGGACAAAAGTCAGCTGAGGAGAGCCATCGTGGGCATCTCCAGGATCCTGAATGGTATGGAAAGTGCTCGTGGCTAGGGGAGACAAGGCATGGTTGTTCTTCATCTGCTGACAGGCTTCAAATGGCAGTCAGCAAGTTGTAGTTCAGACTGGGCAGAAGTGCTTTTCTCACAATAGATGGTGAAGCTGCAAGTGTGTGGCATCCATAATGCCCAGTTGCAGTGGGTCTGTGTAGGGCTAAAAATAACTGGATAACCTTGGGCAAACACCTGGTCCACCACCCAATATAAAGGTGTTTGTTCTGGCTCCAAGTGTTCCTCAGCCAGAAGTAGCTGCTGTCTGGAAAATACTGTGCTTTATGGCTGCTGTGGTATTCATTTGGCATCCAGTGTTAGAGACAGGATGCTGGGCAAGGTGGATTTTGGGGCTGTCCCAAAATATCTGTCCCTTCCTCTTAAGTGCTTTTCCCTCCATTGTCCTAAAACACAGTTGTTCAGTAATGGAACAGTCTATGAAGCTTGGTGGTGAAACCCCAGGAGCTGATGCTGTAGGAAGCATTAGGTAAAAGTGGTGCAGTGGACTCATTTCGCATCTTCTTTTTGTGACTGGAGAAGAGCGTGTCTCAGGAGCCTGAAGTGGTAGGATGAGCATGTATGTGCCTGTGCACCACTTCATTGGCAAATTGAAGATTTGCTTTTGTTGCAACACATGAGCAAATATCCTGCATGGATGTTGTTTGTTTTCCAGCTCTGTGATTTAAGAGCAGGGAGAGTTGTTTTACTGGGAACCTGCGTATTTGTCAAAAGCTGCAGCCAAGTTGGCATGGATTCATCCACTCTAATCTAGGAATGCCCCTAATATGGTGGGTGGGGAAGAGAGGGAAAACTTAGGTCTCCTCACTAAGGATCATGGTCTGAAGAAGCTGTCCAGGATCAGAGTTTATTCCACAGAGGGATGTGGAATGTAAGAAAAGACTCTTTCAGAGTGCTTTTTTTTTGGTGTGTGTATCTATATCCATGTATAAGTGTGTGTTGTATATTCACATGGGCATACATATTTGTATACACACACGGGCACACATGTATCCTTGTTTTTCGGCTCCATGGATTCCAGTGGAATCCAGGATTCCTGGGGGGCAAGTAATGAATTCACCCTTTCTGTTTATGGGAAACTTGGTCTTTGAACTGAGCTTTATTTATGCCATGGGGATTGCCAGTCAGTGTTTACCTAGTCCAGGAAGGATGAATGCAAATCCAAATCCGGAGTCTCTCAACTCGCTCTACAAGTAATACAAACTGTCTAACTAACTGGACAGATCTTTCAATGATAAACAGGATTTTGTTTAGTTCTTGTTGTTCTTAAAGAAGAATGAAAATGCTTTCAGCTGATGTGTAGGAGTGAATGGTCTCTCTCAAAATCCCCTCTTTTTCAGGGAGAAATTATGGTTCTTCTGGTTATAGAAGAAATCTGTTCAGGAGCAAACTTTCACAATCTGGACTCCTTACCAAAAGCAACTCTCAAGTAACATTCGAGACCCATCTTAATTGCAGTTCATCTCTGCTCACTGTGTCTTATTACTGTGCTGATAAAATACAAAATAATTATGCCACTGATTTAGTTTCATACCCAACTAATACACCAATAAGATGCTTGCCACAATAAAGTCATTGTTGGTGGCAGTGTGGTAACTACTTTGAGTTAAATCTGCCTTCTTTTCTAGTAGAACTGTTCCTGTGCTACTTAAAGGAAAAGGGCATGGAAGGTAGGAGGTAGTCAGAGCCTGAAATACCCTGTAGGCTCACCATTCACTAGGGCAATGTAATCCTGTAAAATTGCTGTCATAATTAGTCTCTTAGATCTGAGTATGTATAAAACACTTCTGTCACCAGTCTGCTTTTAAAAAATCTGCTTGAATTTTTAAGGATTAATGTAGATTTAGCAAATGGCTTCTGGAAATCCATACAGAAATACACTGAAGAGATCAAGAGGTTACACAGATTCTTAGTAACAACAGCTAAGGAATCAGGAGTGCAAAAGGGCTGTTCCTAATCTGTAAGCAATTTTCCAAAGAACAATATTCTGTGTGGTTGTTATTCAGGACTCGTAGCTTCTGGCATGTACACAGCCATGATAGTCTTTTTGAAGAGTGTAACAGGAGAAAAATGTGTGTAATCTCTCTTGTTTTTAGCAGCTAGAACATGCTTTTTCAGTTTGTCATTTTCTTTGGATTTATGTGATTCTTCCCCAGCCCACATCTTGTTTTATTGAGGAGAGGGGTCAAGCTTTGTACATTATATGTGAAGCTCGTTACTGTCCTGTTGCTCAGTGTCTTAACACTGACCACAGCTGCTCTCAGATCCTCTCCCTCTGGGAAAATTTCAATGCCCAGCATAGCCTTTTGAGACAAAATAATACCTGTTGTTATGCAGAGAGTCCTGGATGGTGAGAACACAGAAGAAAGCCTGCTGTGAAAAGAAGAAGGTGCCTATATGTGTTTTGGTTTTGTTTTTTTTAAACCAAACAACGTTGCGTTTTCTAGGTTTGGAAAGGCTTTAAGGAAAAGCAAACACTGCCTCGTGCCCTGCTCTGCTTGCCATCATGTTACTAAATTAGCAGGAGAAATCAGTCTGCTTTGTCATAACTGTACAGCAGAGGTCTGGAATACTACCTCGGTTTAAAATATGTTTTCACATGGTGGAGAAAAAAAAAAAAAGGGTGGTCTGGGACTCACTGAACTGTAGGCACCCTAAGAGTGGAAATTTAGAGTATGTGTAGCTTAAGAGTCAACTACTGGAGCATTTCTACCTCTTCACAGCAAAATGAATGGGCAAAAAGGAAAGCAGAGGTACATTACATGTACCTGTACAGGTTTTATATTAAGATTCGTACATCTTAGGATTCTTCTTTGTTTACATGGCCTACTATTTGGGTTTCAATTAAATGTAACAACGTCATGAATGTTCTGTAGCTTATTTTATCCAGTCCACTTGCTGTTGGTGTGCTCCTGTAAAAGCAATTTCTTATTCATGTGTGTCAACTTCCTCTCTCTTCCACTGAGAGTGTAAGAAATTAACTTTACAATTTTGGTGTTTTCTGCAGGTTTGAGGGCTGAACTGCGCCATGTCATGGTGCATGTGTCCTTCATCACACAAAAAAAAGAGTCTAGATTGCTTTTAGCAGGGAGTGTGAAACAAGATTGGGTCCCTGATCTTTACCAGAATCACTCTTTGGGAATAGAGCTGTTTTTTTGTTTTTGTTTTGGGTGGTTTGGGTTTTGGGTTTGGTTTTTTTTTTTGGTTGTTTGGGGTTTTTTTCTATTTAATGAGGATGGGGAAAAGTCTGTAATTTCTGAATGGAATTCATTGCACTGAGAAACGGGTTAAATGAACAATGTCTCCTCTATTTTGGGCTTGAAATTTGTTTTAGACTTGCTTCAATTGGTGCTCCTCCACTGAAGTATACATGAGTGTGCAGCACACAGACCAACCTAAAAGAGAAATACTTTCTTAGGGATCTTACTTATGAACTTTTCCCCCACTTACTAATATGCAGTTAGCCATTAATCTCATGTCCTAGAATGAAAAAGACTTTTTGTGGCTAGTATAAATGGTTTCTTTACTCCTGAAGATTATTTCAGAGTGGTAAAGAAAAGTACAAAGCAGAAAAGAATTGATGATGTGTGTTACTAGTAAAGTTTGTGTTTGCAAAAATAGAGAAGGGATTTGGTAATTTCAAGATATATTTAAGAAATGAACAATAGATAATCAAAATGTGGCTTGTCTCCACTGCCAGCATGGTGGTGGGGAGTGGTAGGAGCGTGCAAGGCAGAATTGCTCCTTTTCTTTGCTGTAAGGACTTAGATCAGTTTGAGTTAATCATAAAATAGGTGCCCTTTTTCTCCCTGATTAATTATAAATGCTTGTTTCTGCATGTATAAATCTTACCCTCCCAACTTGCTTTGTTTCCCAGTTGGTTTTGTTCTTAGCAGCTGATTTACTGATGCTGTGGCTCATTCTTTCTCCTTGTGAGAGCTGTATTTGTGAATGCAAAGCCCCTTTTTTCTTAGGTTTTAGTTCTGAAACCAGTGTTTACTCTCATCAAGTTCTTTGCCGTTTTATTCCTTTTTCCTGTTGCAATATCTCATTATGCTTTTATATATACCACATATACTCAGTGTTAGAAAGCATGTACGTCAGTTTAGTGTGCTTGGGTTAGCTTGATTTATGATGGTAGCAAATGCTGAAGGAGTTACTGTAGTAATGCCTCCAAGGAATATGTTTATGGAGACTACTGTGTAAGGCATTAATCGAATCAAATGCAAGTACATAGTTCAGAGTATGTGCTCAAAACATATGCTTTGAAGTAATTTATCTCAAATCTTCCTCACAGGTATTTCTGTGTTATGTTTTGTGGGTTTTTTTTAAACAATAACATCAACTTTTGTGTTTCTTCAGTGGAGTAGGACTTATGTAGACATGTTCTGTGGTGAATAAAAAAAACCCCCAAATATATCTCTGGCAGTTGTCATTATAAAATTTGCTGTCCAGCTGGAGCAAGATTTTTCTGTCACTGCGGGTGGCTGTGTGGCTTTTGATTTTTGGTTTCTGAAGACCTGCACTTTGCAGCAGTGACTCCAATCAGGAGACTGACTTTTCCTCTGTGATAGTCCCAAGGACTTCTGTGCAAGACATGTTTGCAAATATGAGGAGCTGGTTCTATGTTACAGAGTTACTCTGTCACAGAAGATGAGATTTTGGTAATGGTGATACAGTGAGTTTCGAAAGGCTGGATTCTCAGTTCTAGGGATCATAGGTATTGTTTTGTGAGCTGACTGAAATCTAAAATGTGAATTTCTTCCTACAGCTGATTTTTGGCGTGTGTTTGCTGAGTTCTTCCTAGCAGTTTGCTTTCTTGGCCAGCATAAACCCCCCCCAAAAAATAATGTCTGCCTAATTCACAGCCATGAGGTGAAGATTAGTTAACACTTGGATGACAGGAGGAGGAATGGAAAGCCTGACATTATTGATACAGTCGGATTGGAAGCTGGCAGTTGGAGCACTGCCCGGTAGATCATTCAACAGTATTTCCTGCTCAAGTTAACCAACTAACTAGATTTTCATTATTTATTTTGTCCTGGACTCTTACCCACAACTTCAGGGAGGTAGGTGTGGCATTGCCAAAAGGAAGCTTTATATGCAATCCAGAAAGACCAAGGCACACTTTTTTTTACCCCCTGTTGTGTTTTAAGGAGCCTTTTTCACATGGCAAATCATTTTATTCACTTCAGCTAATCACAACTATTATTGTCCTAATGTAGAAAACATTTAACACTTGTCTGTTTTACTGTCAAATAAGTGGTCCTGGTATTTGAGGAAAAAAACATTTTAAGAAAATGTTTTAAGAAAAGAAACCAAACAAACCACAACACAACAAACTGTAGGAACATAAAATTGCCATGTCATACTGATTTTTCTAGTCCATTGACTGTTTCTGGTAATGGCCAATGCTAGAAACACTGAATGTGATAATCATGGAACAACCTGATTATGTTGCTCATGCATTAGCAAAACTTGGCATTTCCATTGAAACATTGACTTCCTTTCCCCAATAAATCAGGGAAAACAAATCTGCAGCCTTTTTTTAACCTGTCCTATGACAAAAGAGAGGGAAAGGTATTAAACAATCCTAAGTATATATTGTTATTCATGTTATTATTTTTTCCTTTTTAACAGAGGAGCAAGGCCTTGGCTCTTGAGGTTTCACAGTGGTGTTCATGGACTGGCTGTATGTATAGAATGGTGTAGGAATATTTCTTTTATTGGGTTGAAAACAGCTGCCTCTTCAACATGTGAATGACCACCTCTTTGAACTAGGACTCTTTAACGGGTCAACAAAAGACAAATCTACCCCTCTGCTATGTGCTATCCCACTCTGATTGATTGAACACTTTGCTTTTCTTAGTCAACTGGCACTCATTACCGTAGTCTTAATGAAAAAAGGCACTGATCAGCATTGTCAGTGTTTCAGGGTGACTTGAGCGGACAGAATAGATGCAGTCATTTCTTTGCATTAAAGTGGTGTGGACATAAGTACACATTGGTACTTGAGCAGAAACTTCAGGAAACTGGGGACTTGATGTATCCTGATTTGGCACCCCTGCGGAACATTGGGGTATCCTGGGAGAAGGATAATGAGGAAATTGCCAGTGAAGTGTAAGAAATGTGCTCCTAAGACTGGACTTGATCATTTCTGAAGGGTCAGTGCACCTTATCTTTTTGTAGTCTTAGGATGACTCTTCTGCACCAGACTTTCTAAATGTTAAATATGAATCTGAGTTATCCTGACATCTTGCTCACAGGAATTAATTTCATTTAGACTTGCCTTAGTTCTGTCAATATTCAGGTGTTTTGGGACATGCATATATATATGGGTTGGTAGAGGGGGATTGGTGAAAGAATGGACAAAACATGTTCCTGTGTTGACTGCCTCTTCAGAAAGAGAGAGAGCAAAATGAGGGAATGGATGAAGGTCACTCCAGCGCTTTCTTATCAAAGTGAGGGAGAGGATAGTTAGAAAAGTGATACAATGCAAGGGCTTTGTGTTGCTTTCGTAGAGTTCCTTTATGCTCTATGACTAATACTCATCCTTGTGTACCTGAATGCACGTGTATTGATTCCCTGGTGAAAGGGTAGTTGATAGCAAGCTGTGCTATGCTGTATTCTTCCTTCAAGGGATAAATACAGTAAATCTGACTGTGACTGCAATTGTGAGATTAAACTAGAGTAAAGCAGCAAGCAATCTTAGTAGCGGATTCTTTAAATTCCTCCTCTTTTTATTTAAATGCAGTGATATCTTCCCCCCGTTTACTGGGAAATCTGGGTTAAAATGAGTGTTTGTTGTTTGTAATAGTAAATCTCTAGAGCAGCTAAAAATTTTTGGGTTTGGCTGTAACCCAGCACTTTGCAAAGAAAAGAACTTGTTACATGTGCTTTGGTTGATTGTGTAATATAATATTAATGGTAACACAGTTCCTTTGCAATTAAAACATTGTTTTCCATTTTGCTCCTTCCAGGCAGTGCTGATGAGTAACATCACAGTAAATGACCGAGTGATCCAGAGTCTACGAGGTATGTTGTAATACCCCTCAGAGGAAGGGTTTGCAAACAAGTTAAGAGTATTCCTTATGAAGAAAAGGAGGTCAAAATTTTATGCTACACCATTTTTGTTAGTACGTTAGGCTGAAAGGCTATTCTTACCCAGTCCTGTGCATCTTTGATGAAAAAATTCAACAATTATTTATGAATTTGTATACAAAAAGTGACCATGACAGATGGATGAAGTTAGTGTGCTTATTGTCGATCTGTTGTTTGATACTTCTATTGTAATATATGTAGGTATATATATGTGTGTATTTTAATATATATTTTAATCCTGTCTTGGTCAGAAAACTTGAAAGAGTTACAGACAGAATATGGAAAGCTACAGCTGGATGTTTACTGGTTTCAGAAGAACCAGACTAACCTTCAGAGGAAGTTCTCATATGACCTGTAAGTATATTCTTTCTAAAAGATGGCTTCCAGAGTTGTAGGTGACTTGGTTATAACACAGACTATTCTTGTGATATCTATAGCACTGTTAGTAAATATACATTTTTAAGGAGAAAGTAACACCTGACACATCTTCTAAAATTGCTCACAGTTGATCTTGGAGAAGAGTGTAGACCTTGCAATGGTTGGCATCTCAGTATCCACAAACTTCTCCCACACTTCTTGATGTTCCTTCCTTTGCAGGAGGAGAAAGGTAGCAATATCCTCATTTAAGAGTGAGGGGAAAATGGAAACACAAGGAGGCTAAAGTCTGAAGAAGTTTAAGAACTAAGATTTGGGAATACCCGATGAGAGGCTGTACCTCATTGAGCTGCCATAGGTCTCAGAAAATTTCTGGTACACTTATGGTCAGAGCCATGTGTTCTGCATTACTACTCATACCTAGTCATGTTTTTTGTTGAGATTTCCCACTGAATTATATGGCATGGATAACTGAACACAAGTGCTTATCAGTATCCTTACACTAAATATACATTTCTGGTATTTCTAGGAATTTCTCCTGGGTTCTTATGTATCAAGTACACTTTGCCCAGTGGAAAAATGCAGAGAGAGTATTATTGTATAATTGAAAATGTTATAAAAAGATGACAGAAGTCAAATGCCTTTTTTTAACTGCATACACTGTAAATTACTCTTTTTAAACAATCAGATATTGAACTGTAGAAGACAGTGATAAAATTGGTTGTGCGTGTGGAATGCATAGAACAAAATTTGTTAACTTAGAAGGCACAAAAGTAATTGTTTTTTCTCATGCCCAAGTCTTGAAGTTTCATCTTAGCATTTTTTGGGGCAAGCTTAGTGTTTTCTGTACGGAAGTCAGCAGGAGTTATGTGAGCTTACTGGTATTGTGTGCAAAAGGAGTGCACGTTCCTCAGCAGTTGACTTACTGAGATACCCTTGGTGCACACTGTGGCTGGCCAGTGCTGTCTGCTTGTGGTAGAGCTTGTTCAGCAAAGACTGACTGGCAGCACTGACCCTTTTCTCCTGCAGCAACCAGAGAGAAACGGAAGCCTCTGGACTGATCTTTTGAAGATATTTCAATATTCAGATGCATTCTGATTCCTAGGAGCTTTGTTTGCTATGTAGCTGCTTCTTTGAAAATTTTGCTACGTGTAAAAAGTCTGACAATTAGTTTGGTATTTGTAGCCCTGACAAGTATAAGAATGTGAGTGCACGAGTAATATTTTTTTGGCAGGGATGAAAGCAGCTGATGATACGTGCTCCTGGAGGACAAAGGTGCTCTGTTTCTTATGGTGCAGGCAGGGGAAGCAAATTCAGCAGCCTGGGAGGGGAGAGGCTGCCCACGTGTTCCCGTGCATGCAGAGCACACCTGTATGTGGCCAAGTACACAGGTTAACGCGGACACACAAACCACTCGCATGAGCACGAACCACACCAGTAGCCTCCTCCCGCTCCCTGAGGGTGGGGGTCCGCTAGTGCAAAACGCGCTTGTGTACATATGTACTTGCTGGCACCACTCCTTGTGCCACCCACGCGCAGCCCTCCCAGCCCAGTCTGACTCCAGTTGCTGCACTCACACCCCCGTACATGGTCACACACACACACACACACACTGAACAGAGAGTCCCTCACCCAGGAAAGAGTTAAAAAGGCATTTAATAAGAAATGGGACAGACTGTGGTGGTCAGGTGCAGGGCAAGGCCAGACAAGCGCACCGACCAGCAACATGTTTATACGCGACCAACTGTTTATCGCCTCATCTCTCTCTTTTCTCGTGCTTGTTCCTGCCAGAGATCCATCCCTTTCCCTGCGTTTGATCCCATAATAAGTCTTGTGCAATCCTGACATGTTCTAACCCTTCATCCCATAATGTGTCCCCCACCCTGAGCAGGAAACACCTTGGTCTCGTTGACTCATCTTGATGGGTTTTAAGCCTGGACACAGGGTCTGAGGCTGATCTGAGACAGCATGGGGATGTGGGGTGGGGTGGACAGGGTGACCCTTCTTCTGAGTCTGTAATTTAGGCTCCCCGCTGCCCTTGTGCCTCTGTGCTCCTTTGGGCTCATGGCGATGGGCCTTGGATGGGCTGATGGCTTCTGTGATGGGCCTGGGGGCAGCTGGGGAGGCTGTTACGTGGGCACCTTTGTCTGTGCGCTGGTGAGGTCTTTATCACAGAAACTAACTCTTTTTGATCTTGTGATAGAGAAAACATGCCACAGAGACTGAATTCAAGAGCACTGTTTTTGCCCATTTGGAGTATGTCATGTTGATGGGATGAGGTGGAGAAAACAGTGCTGTTCTTGTTCTTCGGAAGTTGTTGTATGCATGAGCAGAGTATTCAAATCTCCAGAAATCCCTTTTACAAGAAGGGAATTCCTTCACAGATAATAAATAAAAAAGAAGGATTTGTCACAAATGTTAAATGAGCTTTATTTTCATGTGCAGTGTGGGATGAAAGAGCATTTGGGAAAGGTTGGTTTATCCAGCTTCAGGCTGTCTGTATACCACATCTTTCTCAGGCTTGCAAACTGAGGTGCAGGGAATGCTGATGTTCTTTTATTTCCTAGAAATTAGTGAATATGTGCATAACTCAAGCCTATACTGTTTTATTGTCTCTGATGTTCACTGACTTAGGAAGCACTGCTTATTTTGATGACTCTTCCATGTATTAGCATTAGCAAAATCAGACCTGAGAATAATGTCAAGAAGAAAAGGTAATACAGGTAATTAATTTGTCAGTTCATAAAGGTAATTAATTTGCCAGTTCATAGCATACCTGTCTGCCACTCTTCTTCCTTTCTGGGTGCAAACTACAGAACAGATTTTTTTGCTTTTAAAAAGTGGGGGTGGAGAAGGATGAAAATGCCATAAAACGAGTGACTTGCTGTCATAGAGGGCACGTGCCCTGAGAATTCCTCTGGATTAGGTAGTAGCTTATTTGCAGCTTGAAAACTGGGATATGCCCGTCTGAACCAGCTGCAGTTACACCGGGAGTATTAACACTGCCAGTGCCAGGCTCAGAAGAAATTAATCCCCCTTTCTGTCTTAGTGAGGGGGAGATAAAACTTGCAGCATGTTGACCAAGTTGTTATATGTACAAAGGATGGCGAGAGAGGTTTTGCATGCAGGAAGACATGTTTGCAGGGTCTGTAACTGATGGTATACATTGAACTCAAATTTACCTTAGAGTGGAAAAAAACAAAGGAGAGAGAGAGAGAAAGGAAAAAAAAGGGTTAAAAAAAACCCCCAACACACTCCTTTGCCACTGGGGCCAGCAGGGAAGAGAAACTGTGTGGTCCCCAGCCAAGCCTCTTCCTTGGGCACACTCTCCAGCGCAGTGGGTGCTGACAACGATGATGATTTTTCACATTTTTCCCTAGCATAATGCACTTCTTATTGGGGTCCACTCAAAACCACTATTGCTTGTTCGTGTTGGGATGAAAGCATACTTGGGGTCATATGATGACTGGTTTCTAAGCCTTCTACATGTGTGTTATGGGGTAATGCTTATCTGCTTTGTTATTCACTAGATCTTGGTCGTCTTCTAATATAAACCAAAAGTTACAAAACAGGTTATGAAGAGAGTGGGGGACAAAAGGTGGTCTTGCCCTGATGGCAGTCACTTCTCCTGAGAAGCCCAGCTTGACAACACTCCTGGGGTTTGCACAGGATCCTCAGCACAGCCACAAAAGGGGAAAACACTGCCTGGGAGCTTCAGGAACAACACTGCCGCAGCAGCCTCGGGCTTACCTCGAAGTTAAGGAGCTGTGAGGGAAAGGCAGGCCACAGAACTGCAAACAGAAGACCCCTGGTGTCATGACGGTTAATGGACTAATGGCACTGTGTAACTATTGAAAGTATATAAAAGATATACAGTACTTGCATCTTGAGGAAGTACTCCTTTTGGAACTTAGAGTAGTGTCGTGGTTTAAGCCCAGCTGGTAACAAAGCACCACGTAGCTGCTTGCTCACTGCTCCCCCACGGCCCCGGTGGGATGAGGAAGAGAAAATACACAGAAACAAGGTCGCGACAAGGACAGGGAGGGATCACTCACCGCTTATGGTCACAGGCAAAAGACAGGCTCAACTTGGGGAAAACACAAAATCAATTTAATTTACTACAGGTCAAAATAAGGATAATGACAAGTAAAACCAAACCTTGAAACACTTTCCCCCCACCCTTTCCTCCTTCCCAGCTGAACTCCACTTCTGATTTTCTCTACCTCCTCCCCCACAGCAGCTCAGGGGGACAGGGAATGGGGCTTGCGGTCAGTTCATCACACCTTGTGAGGGGGAGGACTCCTCACTTGTCCCCTGCTCCAGCGTGGGGTCCCTCCCATGAGAGACAGTTCTTCATGAACTGCTCCAGCGTGGGTCCTTCCCAGGGGCTGCAGTCCTTCAGGCACAGACTGCTCCAGCGTGGGCTTTCGCACAGAGTGAGGGCCATCTTCAGGGGCCTCCCCCTGCTCTGGCGTGGGCTCCTTTCTCCCCGGGCTGCAGGTGGGCCTCCGCTTCCCCGCTCCCCCCCGTGGGCTGGGGGACACAGCCTGCCGTCTCACCACGGGCTGCAGGGGCATCAACCTCCTCTGGCACACCTCCTCCCCTCCTTCCGCACTGACCTCGGTGTCTGCAGAGGGGTTCCTTCCTCTCACATCCCACTCCCCTCTCCGCTGCAGGTTCCCCTTCTGAAATATGTTCTCCCAGAGGCGCTACCACCGTCACTGATGGGCTCGGCCTGGGCCAGAGGTGGGTCCGACTTGGAGCCGGGGAAGCTTCCAGCAGCTTCTCTCACAGAGGCCACCCTTCCTCCACTACCAAAAACCCTGCCACACAAACCCAAACCAAATACCTGCTGATGCACTCCATTTCTGTAACATGTTTTGTAATGTCTTGCAGCACTGCACTTTGGTGAAATGCTGAGAAAGGGTGTTCAGTTTGCTAGCAGTAGCTTACACCGGTTTCTTATTTCAACTAGTTCCTTGCTGTTTTCTCTTCCTAGCTAAAATCCAAATACACATTTCTGTTATCATACTAGAAATGCTTAGTGGAAGACAAGAAAATTCATGTAGCTTGTTGAGCTGTCTAACAAAAGCAGTTTAAATAAAGGACTGTCTGCACCATGAGTTTGTCCTTAGGACGTAGGTTAACACCCCATTTTTTCCTACTGACTTCTTCTCAAATGTAAGCACAGATCGTAGAACTAAGAAAGTAATAAAAAGAGGAAGAAAATAAAAAAATGGACATGTTACAAAAGAACTTTTTAGAAGAGTGTGGATGAAAGTTAACTGCTCACTTGTTCACGTTTTCTCCAGGTCACAGTGTATCAACCAGATGAAAGAATTAAAAGAGCAATGTGAAGAAAGGGTAGATGAGCTTACAAAAAAGGGTAGCAATATACCACAAATCAAAGAAAACAAAGACTTCTCAGAAGATTCAAAAAGGAATAGCCAGGTATGGTTTGGGTAATTTCTTAAAAATCTTTTTCTTTGTAATTTCTAAGGGGTTTTTCACCTTTCTGCTATCTCCAACTAATATTAGCCCATCTCTTTAAGTTTTACACTGCTTTCCTTCACATTTGTTGAATGTTTCTGATCTATGGGAAATGGAGCAATTCTGAGGACAGAAGAGGCAGAGGTCCTGCAGGATACTCAAAATCACTGTGTCTCTGAGACAAGCAGAATTTGAGAGGTAACGCTGGTAGTGGTGTGGAGCCCATTAAAGAATATTTACACTGCTGAGATTTGGTTCACAGCTCCTTTTACCTTGTTAAAGTACTTAGTTGCTTTGTGTGTTGAAGATGTGTTAAAAATGAGGATAAATTGTGAATCACATCAGAGTAGCAGCAAGCCTTGAATACGATATTGTAGTCCAAGGGTCTTTGAGGTCCATCAGCTATGAATTTTCACAGAAATCCTAATGTCAGCCTTTTACTGTGGGAATGAGGGGAAGATCAAATGTGCTAGCTGTTTGCTTTTGGATATTTCGAGTCAAAGAACCACAAAAGGTGTGTGACTTGAGAAGGCTTACTAGGATGGGGCAGGCTTGCCACACAGGGTGGCTGTGTGCCAGCTGACTTTTCCTTCCTAGGGTACAGAGGGCAAGAGGAGATCCTGAGAAAAGGAAATTTAAGATGATCCTGTTGTATTGGCATGTGAATTACTGATGCTTCTTCAGTGAAGGAGGATTTGGTCAGGAATAGGACTTGATTGGTTAAGCTTGATACAGATGGCCCTGGAAACACGCACTGAAGCTCCTAGGTGAGAAGGCAACTGATGTATTTCTATGTACCGAAGTAGCCCTTCTGTCAGGACTACAAGCCCAAGTTACAGAAGTTACATTTTTTACATGTGACTGCAATGGGACCTTTCCCCCCAACTCTCATTGCAAAGGCAGTGGGGGTTTGGTGGTGTATGCCCTTTTCTCTTTGGCAAGGAAAAGGCTACTAGAAGAAACAATTTGATGACTTCAGAAGTGGAAAGGGTAAAGCAATGAGGATTGAAGCTGGGTTTTGCAAAAAGCTGGAAATTGGTGGGAGAAAATGGCTGAAACATCTGCCCAGAGACGCCTAGGTGTTCAGGTAATGGTTCCAGTCTGTGTCCAGTCCTTTATGTAAAATGGTGGGAGAGAGAACTGCTAAGTTTGTGACCTTTTATCCTGGGAACCTGCATTGTACAAGAGCTGCAAAATGACTGAAGCATTAGAGACAGGAAATGCCAGCCCGTTATCCCTTAAAAAAAAAAAAAAAGTGAAAGCTCTTGTTTATCAATAGTTTTTATTACAGTGTCAAATAAGTAAATAAAAAGTAGTAATAGTAATTTTATAGTGAAAAGTAAATTAAAAGCCCATCATTTGAAGAAGATATATTTGTTTGTCACACCAGTGTATCTTGTTTAATGTCAAGGTGTGAAATACTATTTGGAAAGTGATGTGGGGAAGACCATGAGGTCGTCAACTTAATTTCTGGTGTGGCTTTGCAGCAGATTTTCATTACAGTTACTTGCACCAGATGCTTTTTTGTTTGTTTTGCAGTTTGGTTTGTTTTTTTTTTTACCTTTTTGTTTGGAAGGAAAATCATCCCAAAAGGAACCTGAGGAGTTTGGCTGAAGCTCCTCTGCAGGACAATTTCGGTCTCCTGCAACAAGTCCCATAGTTGGAGGCAATATTTACTCAAAGCAGGCAGTAGGTTAAGCAGGGCAGGTTACCCATTTCCTTTTAATCTCTAGAGGGGATAGTCCCAGATGAGATAGATAACCACTAACCACAGCCTAAATAAATTCTGTCTGCTTGTGTTCTCTAGCATCTGTGACAGTGTTTCTTATGTCAAGCTGTAACCTTCTCAGTTGTTTGTTTGCCCAAGGATTGCAACTTTTTGCTTGTGCAAAAGCTGTGTTATTTATCATTAGTGCAAGGGGACCCTGAGGAAATCTGTGTACGTTTTTAGCTGAATAATTCCTGTTTGTAAGATGTACATGCTTATGTAATGGAAAGGTCAGAGTTAAAATAAAACAGAGAAAGAAAATGGAGTGTTGGTTGGTTAATAAACAGCTTTTCTTACAGCTCTGTATTTTAAGGAATGATGTATACTGCTTGGCTGAGGAAAACACAACATGTTCCAATTATTATCTTTTTATCCAACCACTTCAACTTAAAAAATTTTCAGCATACACCCTTTTAATTTATTTGACACCATGATTAAAAATTGCTGACCTAGAAATTTAAGATAATATAAGCTAAGGGCTTTTGCATATTTAATTAAGAGGTAATTTCTTGCTAGTAAGTGCAGGCTTAGTATTTTTACAGAAGAATTCATGCCCAGCATAAAGTGAAAAATAATCTTATGTTCACTTTCTGATGATTTCCACTGTGGAGGGTGACCTCAAGAGGCTGAATTATTTATGAAACAGAATAATTTTTAAATACAGCATTTTTGTTTTAATGACTGAAGGAAGGGAGTTCTTCTGAATATCCTTACTACAGTAACCAAATATTCTGTGGTAATACTTGTTTCTCAAGATTTCGCAAGAGTTAATGCTAGGTTATTTGTTGTTGATGTTGGATTTCATGGTGTTAACCCAACAAGGTCTTTAGTTCTGCCTGCCTTTGACTGAGCTTAAACATTTTCAAAACAGCCAAGTAATCATATCCTACAAATCCTCTACAACTTTGGCTTCTTGGTTATTAAACCATTTATTTCTGCAGACATTTCTCCAAATGACTGCATGAACACTTGACAACCTAGTATTTTATTGACCTGCTTAGAACAACGGGTAGCTACAGTCTTACCAACATCACAGCAGAAAACTTTGTTGACTATGACTTCCTATACCATAAGGTTTCCTATTCATATGTATAGTACCAGGTATAAAAAGATTTATATCTCTAAATGTCTGTATGCTTGTTCTTTCTCTGTGTCTTTCAATTTTTATTTTTTTTTTTAACAAAACAAAAAAATTAGCAAAAAATCCCCATAGAACAAACAGTTCCATAATGGTCTGGTTTTTTGTGCCAGAGCTGGTATACACAGCACGGGCTCCAGGCACATTTCATGTTCAGTGTTCGTATGAACTGAATTGACATAGCTTTCAGCCAATAAAATGCCAATATGAGTAAAAGTTGTACGTGGAATTTTAATTGCTAAATTGGAAGATCTTCAAGGTGGTGTAGATCTTAGCCATTAATCTTTAAGCAGGTCAGATGCTGAGAGCAGTATAGTACCAGCATTTAATACATTCTTAAGTGAGCTCCATCATGTTAAAACAGATACTGTTGTCTAGTTGGTTGCTTTATGTTTTTCTTATCTTAATCCTGCATTCAACATAGTTTCAGACCAGTGCTGTACAGGTTTGCTTAATTAAAGTCTTATTATGCCCAAACTCAGTTTACCTGTCCCTGTAGATTACTAACAGTAGTTAATGCCATCTGCTTTTTTTCTCCACTGATGCTGACATTGTAGCAGGGCAACAGTGGAGAAATGCCTGGTGTTACTGTTCTGTGACCCTCAGAGAATAACAGGTAGTGTTGTTTCTTGTGAAACACTAACCAAGAAGAGTAACTTTATTGTTAGCTGCCATTACAATAAAGGTGTGTTAAATTCTCCCAATGTGTTGTGCTGTTATATAGAAGCATCACTGCATATTCAAGATTGTGTGGTACTTCCATCACCAATAAAAATTACAGTCCAAATATTTCCAAGTTTGTTAGGAATTTTTTCCCCCACTGAATTCTTATCTAACTTCCACTTCCCTTTCCAAATCCAGGAGTAACATAGACCAATGCTTATCTATGTACATTCACTTTATAGGTCAATATTCAACTACCAGCCTTGAAGCAAACCGAGTTCAGGCAGGCTGACTTGGAACAGCAGAAACGCAATGAAGATGTGCCTAAAGCAGTACCTACAGTAAAAAAGACAGACTTGCTGCAGGCTAAAGGTGAGATGGAAATCACTCTCTTACTAGCAACTGGTTAAGAATGTTTGTAATTTAACTGAACGCTTAAAAACCCCCCATTTTTGTACAAAAGAGTAAGATGGAAAAAGTGACACCAGCAGAGTGAACTTTATTCAAATTTCCAGCTGTGGAGAGGTATAATATCTATTCAAGCATTTTTATTACTAGCATTTCTACTGGTTTAATTTTGTTGTAATTGACATGTTGCATGTAAATAAAAATACAAACATTTACAATTCTGGAATCATATCCCTCATTTAATACAGAGAAAATACCCTGCTTTTGGAAGCAATGATTTTCAAGAACGTTTAGTATTTGCTTTCTTAATAAGTTTGATACATCTAGCCTGCTACCCGACCCTACGAAAGTTAGGCTTTAACCAAACAGACATGCATGCTTGCCATGTGTTGTCAATGAGCAAAATGCAAGTAAAGGAAATGATACATAGGAGACCAGATTAGTTAGCCTAATGGTTGCTTTTGGCACTAAACTCTCAGAAACTATTAATTTGAATGGCTGTATCTTTGTATGTCCGTCTTGCATAGTACTGTTTGTGACAGAAATTAAATTTCCTATTTAATTATTCTTACATGCTATCTTAAATTACAATCTTGGGAGCATGCAACTCTTATTTCAGAGAGCTAGCAATTGAAGACAACCTCTATGTATAGTTTATTCAGGCAAATTTTATTGTGATTTTTTTCAGTAAAAATAGAGATACACAGGCAAAAAGATATGGTAATGTCTGCTAAAAGTAACAGCCCTCCTGCACTTCCTCTTCATATTTAAAAATAAGAATAGCCTTGATTTACTTGCAAATATGCCCATGTGACTGCTTTGTCCTGAGCTACTTTTGAACACCAAATCAGTTTTATTGTTAGTAATGAAATGTAACACACAGAAACCTGATGGTTATACAGCACACTGCAATTTTTATTTAAACTGCTCTGTTTCACCTGCCCAATTTATTAACTGCACACACCAAAATTTTAAGTAGGTAGAAGCATGAATCTGTGACGGTAAACAATGTCTCATTCTTTAGCTGTTCCCAGTAGGAAAAACATGGGTTGTCTTGGAACTGACGTGGTTGGAAGATACTTTTTCAGAGGAAAAACAAGAATTGAATGCGAAAGATAAAGCAGTATTTATTAAAGGTTTTTAACTTGTGCCACCACTGAAAGGCATTAAGTTTTTTACTCAGAATCATTTTTATTGCTTACAGAAAGAATAAGCGGCCTAGCTGACAGCAGAAGACAGGAGCCTAAGGCAGAAGAGGAGAAGCTTTCTAGTCAACTGAAAAACCCACAGGATTCGCTCAAGGCTGCTGCAGGTCCTAAGGAGATGCTGCCTGAGTCAGAGAAGGAGCTGACTCCATCTGAAGATGAAAAACATGTAGCTGGGCAAGATGCATTACAGCTGGCAGCAGAGCAGGCTGCTAGCGAGGAAGTCGAGAGGGAGCACCTCCTAAATTATGATACTAAGCAGGATGACTCGCCCACTGGAAAGGCTGGTAGGTAGCATTTCACATATTGTTAAGAACACTGAAAGAAATGAAAGTGTGGAATAGGGCACGATTTCTGCAACAGTGGTGGCAGCTGGCTAAACTTAGTATAAGGTTTCATAAAGCTTAGTGTGAGATGTAAAAGATTAGTCGGTCCCCAGCAGTCTTCTACAGTCCATGGGTAAAGACGGAGGCTTCTGTTTGTGCGACATGGAGCTACCAGGCTGGGTTGTTCTGCATCACCATAGCAGTCTTCCTGTCTCTCTCCCCATTGGTTGTACAAAGCATTTGGGGAAATTAGCCCTGAAGCTTTTTGGTATTGAGGCTCTATAAGAATATGATGCATTTGAAAAGGATGAGACGTTAACCATCCAAAGCATTGATAAGTAGAATGATACTAAATATTGATGTTTTGCAGATAGTCCTTTTACAGTGTCCATGCTAGCTATCCCTATTTCAAAATAAGCTAGCATAAATAAAACACGACCTAAGACTTAATGTATCTAAAGTTTATTATTGTGAATCTGCAAAATTGCAGATCAGATATTGCAAAGGTGCCAGTTTCTGGCATCTACCACATGTGACCCTGAACCATGTGTCTCCACAGCACCGAGCAGCAGAGTATTGATGTTGTGCCCAAATCTGACCAGAATCTAGACATCCCTCCATCTGTCTTGAGGAACTTGGTCTCAGGTGGACCCAGCAGCCCAGAGTAATCAAGAGGAAGCCTTATGGCAGTCAGAGCAGGAATTGATGCCCACAAAAAATGCTGTTTATGCTTTTCTAGTAAATGCATTCATAGAATCATGAGTAATGATGTTAACACTGTTGATAACTTGGCAGGGATAAATAATCTCATCTGCATTGCTAAAGTAGTATTTTTCCAACTGCTCCAAAAAGATGCTGGCCAGAGCAAGCTGTCCCCCCAAAAGATGTGAATACAAGTTACCTAAACTGCTTCCATTTCAATGGAAATAAATAGCAGAAAGATTAGGTAAAAAAAAATCATCCAACCATTAGCGCAAGAAAAAGCTCTGCCATGTAGCCAGTGAAAAGCCAGGGTTTTCAGCATTGGCTTCAGGTTTTACTCCTCCTTAGGCTGTCCTTTAATGTATTCTGAAATTGTTTAATGCTCTTCCTTTCTGTCTGTCTGAGCGCTGGCTGAATTTTATTACACTTTCCAAATGCCCAAAGATTCTGTCTCTCATCTAGTTCTTTAGATAAGATTTACAGCAAAAGCTGCTCTGAAATGTAACAGTTCAAAAGGAGAAATAATATGAAAACCTACACTAAACAGCAATTCATTCAGCAGCAAAGTAAATTCTGTGCAAGATTGCTACAATAACTGTTTCTTGTGCAGATGACCTTATGGTATAGCATAAAACTAATTAATTTTAACACTTCTGCAGACAAACAAGAACATGAAGCACTGAACCAGGACAGGGATGTTGCTTACAATTTAGATGAGAATGAAGCTGAATCAGAAATGGACAAGGAAGCAGCACTTGCAGGGATTGAAAATGGTAAAAAAGAAAAAAAAATTAAGATGATATTTTGAATGGTATCCTGTAGCAGATATAGCTAGCTAATTTGTTTGTTCTTTGAGCTTTCCCTCATGTTGACAGTGTGACCTATTTTACATATAACATCACTGAAGCTATTGTTTAACATGTGGTGGGGAGGGACAGTATCTGTAGCTTTTACTATACTACACAGTACTTAACAGTCCTTTCAAAATTTCTCCTGCTGTGGTCTAGATTGTTTTCTAGATGAAGAACTGTCACTTCTGCCTCTTAAAGAGATTTCTGTACCTTTTTTCCTAATTAGTTCAAAACCCTGAAGATATGAAGAACCACTTATCTGTGCATGATGAACGACAGAGATTGTGAGCAAAGGAGGTTCATCATGCAACCTAGTCACCTCTTCATATAAATGCAGCAACGATGACAGCAAAGTGATCTGAGAATGTTTTGATTATCTTCTCAAGTCTTCAATAAGGGCCCAAATGAAGTAGTATTTTCTTGTGAAGTTTTAGTACTGTTTCAGTGGTGAAAAAAAATCATCTTAAATCTCTGAAGGCTTGTTTTAAAACACCTTGACCTCTGCAATGACTCTTTCCTTCCTACCAATTCCAGTATTGAAATTAGCTAGCAATAAGTGTCGTAACTTTGCAGTTAGCCAACTTGTACAGTCATACTGCAGTAACAATATTTGCAGATTGGTGTATATGAAAAAGAGTCCTCTGCCAAGGATGGCTCACTCCCCTGAGCAATGCAGTAGAGAAATCCCCAGCCTAGTTCTAAGAGGAGCTTAAGACAAGCTGACTTAACCTTGACAAAACATGGGAAGGATGAAAAATGGCCCATGGTGCCTATTCTGGCACCTTTTTACTGCAATGTAGATAGACTCAGAAAGCGTGATTGTAGTCCTCAGATATTACACAGTACGATATACTTTCCTGGGCCTTCTAAATGAAATTGCTAGCTTACACTGTTTGTAACCAGGCTGAAACACTATCCTGGTTGTCTTCTCAGTGTTTAGGGTAAAAAATAAAAAAAAAAAAAAGATTCTGACAATAGTGTCTTCTCATTAAGAGATTAGTCAGGAAGATTTTTCTGAAAGCTTTGTTGGACTCCTGTTCACAAGTTCAGTACTATGGTATGGTTCAGTTACCACTAACTTGCACAAGTTTAAAGTGTAAGAATTCAAACTCCTGAACTTTTTGTAACAAAGCCATCTGAATAGCTGTGCTAGGACTGCCCTTTACTCCACCCAGCCACTATCTTCTGCTAAAAAGTAGAAAGGCAAATGCTTGCCTTGTAGAACAGCAATCATCTCAGCTGTTCAAAGTGACTAATCTGCTCTGCCAGACTTCTGAAGAAGGTAGACCTGACTGCATTTACCAGACATCTCAGTGGCTCCCACAGGTGAAGCTGTAGTTGTTGTGAAGTCCTAAGTTAATGCACAAGGTATAATGTTGTTAATGTTCTGTAGTCTTTGTCTTTTCTGTAACTTGTTGAATGTAAACTAGAAACTAGTTTACTTGTGATAACTTAGAAATACCCTCTGCTACCACTAAGGCACCCTTAACTGCAGTCCAGCCTGCATTGTGTCTAGTAAGATGTTTTGAAGATTGTGTCTGTTCTCAAGACCGACACCTGTGTCTGGAGCGATCTTTGCAAGTATGAACCAACCTCTGTTGAGGCAGCATGGGAGCAGACAGACATGACTAACTTCCCAACCAGCAATTCCATTTAAGAAAATACAAATTTGTCTTGGCTTTCTCTTAATGCACTTCATTTTGTAACTACTTCTGTGGTGTGTCATTCCTCAGTCTACTAGTTTACAGCTCCTGTACCTGAAGATGTCTATAAATATGCAAGCGGAAGGTTGGTTCTTTTGTGTATGAGAAGAGTGTTAGTTATCAGAGTGAAAGGGAGAGCTCAAGTTAAATGGTGCCTCTTAAGCCTAAATACATAAACAGTTAATTGATAGACTTGCCATGTATGACTTGAATTCTTCTAAGAAAAGCACTAACTTCCATTACTGAATTCTTGGTTACTCATTTTTTTTCACCACTTAAGTCAGACTTAACTGGTCTGGGCTAATACAGTCAATATAGCAGGGAAAACAAATGCCTGTAAGCAGGAGAGAAAAGGAAGTATGTGCATCTCTTCTAACTGACAAGTATTGGGCAACTTGGGCTATTAAGGTGGGGTGTTTTTTTTGCAAATAATGGCATATTTTAAGATCAAAATGCTTACCCATATTCTTAGTAAAAGGGGCATTTTCTTAGGACTTAATCTGTAAAGAATTATATAGCTGAGATGAAGTTAATCAGGAGTTTAAGTGATTGTTAAAGAGCATATATTCTAACAGTATAAAATGTACAGTGAAACACTGTATTCAAGTTGAATGAGTGGCTTTAACTTGATACTGGTAAAATCCCAAACAAACAAACAAAATCCATAAGGTAATTAATATATTGCCATAGAATTCTTTTAAAAATGAATTGTTTTGGCTGTATTTCTGTACACTGCCCAAACCTGACTGGGCTTCTTGCTAATCAGCTAGATGTTGTCCTCTCCATAAACAAGACTACCTTTGTACAAAGGGCACTTGTTACACCTCTGACAGTAGTGGGTCTGAAAACCTGCATAAGAGCAATGTTCAAAACAATGAAGGAATGCAGTCTTACTCTCAACAGCTTCAAGTGCTACAGGAATGTAGCTAGGGTTGTAGATTTCTAGTAGACAAGGGGCCTGTATGTCTACTATATAAAATTAGAATTTTAAAATTAAAGGACTTTTAGTTGAACAAAACAAGAGATTAATTTGGAACTGTGGTTTACATAGTGTTGTCTATCACTAAAATTTTTAGTTGTGCAAGACAGGGAAAGCTTCTTTGCTGTAATCATCTTGGAGTTAAATTAACACTTGTCATTGATGTTTTTTTAAAAGCTAAGCCTGATCATATTTTAAAATAAAAATAATCTTCTCTACTCTGTATTCACCTTATTCTCTATACTTCATCCACTTTTAATATTCATGAAAATGGGAAAGATGATAATTCCTGTTTTCTTAGTTCTATAAGTGACGCGGAACTTGGTTTCTTTTTTACTTGCTGCTTCCTTTGGAGAAATACCAAAGGCTGTCCTTGAGCTGCTGTCATGTAGTTCAAGATTTTTAAGACAGGAAAGATTTTTGTGATTACAAGGCGGCAGATGAATTCTCAGTGCCTTACACTAGAACCAGTTTGCCATGTTCACAACTACTTTTTAGTTTCCAGGATTTTCATTCCTTTGGCAACAATATAGAAGCATTCAAGTGTATTAGTCATGATGATAAGCAAACATATAAAATGGTATGCAACCTCCTTAGCAAAGAAATCAGGAAAAGAATGTATTCAGGGCAGTAATTCTGCTTCTTTCAAGAAGCTGCAAATTGCTGGCAGACAAATGGGTGTTCCACTTCAAAGTTCCTTCCCTGTTTTCCAGCTCTAGCTCAGCAGCGCTGCTGTTTAGGTGATGGAGTTGAAGTGGTATTATTCCACAGTACAACTATATGTTAGGAGAAACACAACTGTCTTGCATGGTCAAGAAAGAGTTAGAAGCTTATCGCTATGGAGGAAGCCATTTTGCACCAAAATGAAGAATTGTCCTGTCCAACACAGGCAAACCTGGAGGATTTGCTTTTATGGCCCAGGTTAAGACTTGGCAGTATGGTTTATCAAAGAGCAAGTCAGCTTTTCAAATGTTTTTTGTTTTTTCGATCTTGTAGCAGAAGGTTGCTCAACACATCAGCTAACCTATTATTTCACATCTGGAAGCACAAGAGGAAGACCTGTTCCAGGAAGAAAAAGGTAGGTTTGGAGCTCCTCCTGCCTGGGATTTCTACCTGCATCAACCATTAAAGAAGGCAGTAGAACCCAGCAGCAGCATTGCAGTCAAAACAAGAGAATAAAAGTCATGCAAGAGTTGACTCAGCAATGGAACAAATTAACAATCCCTCCTTTGCAATGGCAAAGTAACAACAGGATTGAAATAAAGTTGCAGAGTGGTTAACATACACCCCTAGTATCTTGTGTTCCTGTGTTGCTAGTGCCTATTACAGTATTAGCTGTGCAGATTCTCCAGTACCATGAAGAATAAAGACAAAGAAAGAAACTGCAACTAGAAATAACTTCATTTCTCACTGTCTTCAAGGACTTCTACATTTAAGACAAAATACCTCCTAGACAATTGACTTCAGTAAAACAAATATTGCTGAATGCAGTGCAGTAGGAGCTAAATGACTAGTTTTCATCTGTTCTTAATTTCTATAAAGATTGTTTTAGCTTGCAGGACTGGGGAAGAAAAGAACCCAGTCTTTCTACTTGCAAAGTGAGCAAATTTGATGCAATTTAGGTAAAAATATGGAAACTTGCAGTCTTTCAAAGTGGCTTTGTCCAAAGCATAATTTCAGTAGCTCAGCTGTGCCTATCAGACACAAAGCTCTACTGCATTGTTCAGTCCCAAATGTTACTAAATCCCTAAACCACCATTTTCTGTCAGAGCTCATTTATAAAAATGATTTATGATTAAATCTTTAATAAAATCAACTAAGGTACAACATTCTTCAACAATACAGTTGATTAAAATCAGCTTCACCCATAAAGCTTTATACAAACCACTTTAAAACAGCAGTTGTCATTCAGATTATGTAAAGAAGGCAGACTATATATTCCACGTAACAGTACTTTTATCCTAGAGATCCCTCTCAGTCTGGGTACAGCACTAGATAATCCATCCTACAACTGGTATCTGATACACAGATTATGCTTCAGGTATCCTAACAATAATCTGTCTTTCAAACAAGCTTCACAACTGGAAAATATTTATGAGGGGAGAAGTCAAATTCTGGAGGGACCTAGAAAGAAAAGATTTAAAACATTACACAGCAGTACTACTGAATTTAATTCAAAATGAGGGATACCCTGCAGAGAGAAGAAAAACTTTTAAACAGCAAAAGATTGAAAAAAGAATAATCCTAGCTCTTTAAATTCGTATCTGAAAAATATTCCAACCCAGTTCTGGATATGCCAATCATTCTTCAGTAGTGATGGGCACAGAGCTGTAGGGTGCTGGTGTGCCTCTTCAGTGTGCTCCTTCATTCTTCTGTGCCTAGCCTCTGGCAGGAAGTCTGAAGGCCCTCTCCTCCCTCTGAGCCACGTGGCAGCCGCTAATCCTGACAGCCAGCACGCTCCCAACTGTTCACACAAGCTACTGATACACTGCTACCAATTACTTCTTGCTCTTGAAGAATACCCATATTTGTACATGTCATCCCACATGCACTTCCCAATTTTTTTTCCAAAACATGTAGAAACGAGAGTTTTCCATATTTAAGTAACTACAATGAACTATTTCCAAGGGAAAAATGGATTAAGTTACTTTCCCAGTTCTTTTAAACGTTAGTGTAACTATGGCCTGAATCTGCTCATTCAGCTGCAAGAGATCTGTGGTAGCACTGTGTGTAAGACTACATTTCACATCCAATTCAATGGGCATCTTCTTACCTTAGAGTCCTTTTTGTGGCCTCCTGCCAGCAGCTTCATGACCACAATATTGGGTTTAGCAACTTTTAGAATTCGATTGACCTAAACACAAAACAGCAAGAAGTTTTCAAGTGAAAGCATATAACCTCAAAATTATTTCAAAGATAATACTCAAATTCTCGACACACAAAACAGCAGTCCTCTTACAGTATCAATTGAACAGAGATCAAGGTCTTTTGGATTTGCTTTGAAGTGTAACAGCTGGATTAATGAAATTTAATGAAGGGGGCATTTATTTTAATCGTCACTTTTTTTATTCAGCAGACCATAGAAACCACTGCTCTCCATGCTTATGTTCAAAAATTGTTAAACTATGGCAAGTTCAGAAGCACTCATCCAAATAAAGGTTTAGACAGACTCTAGGCATCTACCCTCCACACTGTGACACGATGAGAAGGGGAAACTCAAGTACCAAACTGGTGGCTTTTTCTATGGAAGTGCTCTGGGCACACTCAACCTACCTCTAACTACCTCAGTTAGCCTCAATCAGATAGCTCATGCGTGAATACCACCAGGATCCAGAGAACAGGCAGGGATTCCTAAATTCTCAAGAGAACCTAATCCCGTAACTGTTCTTAACCTGCTCAGATGCAACAGAATAAGCATCCTCCTTCCCCCAAAATACAGTCACAGACACTTAGTTTTTAGGCTATGGACAAAGAGGGAGAAATTCCTACCTGTGTTTACAGCCCAGTGCTGAGAAAACTGCTCCAGGAAACAAGTACCAGACTCAATCCTCTTTTCAGCCTGATGACATTCAAACCTATTTTTCCCACCTTTCAGGAGTACATGTGAATTACCAGATTCCAGGTAAGTGAGGCAGGCATGCATCACCTTGTTAAAACTGATATGCTTTTAGAACAGGGCCAGAAGGCAACATGCAAGAAGGAACTAAACTTCTATCTAGCATCTAAGATAGTCATCAGGGAGAGGCTTTGGAACAGCAAGCACAACCCTGATTAATGTTATCTAACATATTGAAACAGACCACTGAGTAAGGTGCCACCACCCTCCTCTGATTAAGGAGTGGACAAAGTACTCAGCTTTGCTCAGCATTTTGACAAAGTACACTTTGGATCTCAAGCAGATCCAGCTGAAAACAAATACTTATTCTATTATGAGCAAATACTCCTTTTTCCAGTGTTTCAGTCTTACCTCATAGTCTGGATTAGGAATATTCTCAAGAATCATTTTAGCTTGCTGGAAGTGTTTGCTAGCTGCCATGTAGAGATCAGATGACTGAGGAGGTGGGCTGTACTTATTTAAATCAGACATTTCCTAGCGTGTTACAGAAATATAAAAATATACATTAAAATCAGTTGCCAACAAATTGTATATTTTTATCACCTTAAATGAAAACAAATTAGTATATTAAAGAAAAAAGTTATGTTGACTAAATAATATTTTATGAATATATACTGAAGATGAAAACATCTATTTAAAATGGCAAACACCAAGCAGCAATACAATGCTTAACAATTATTTTAGAGTGCTGCAGAACGTGATACTCTTTAGAAAACAATCCCTCTCCTGAATAACTTAGCATTCATTTGCTTTAATAGAGCCATGCAGCAGGGTGTGAAAATACAGGAAAAATAGGAGAGAAAAAAGTATGTGATATTGTTTACTCAAATCAAGTTTACAGCAAGTGAGATACTGACACTGTTCAAAACTTCATTTTACATAATTTTGATACTTCCAATTTTATTTTTTTTGTTCCCATTAGGGATAAAAATCTTCAATTGACAAGGAAGAAGCCATGATAGCCTTAATTTCCACTACAACTGTTCACAACACTAAAGTAGTAAGAGTGGGTGGCATACAAAATAGTACAGTTTGAGTTCAGACAGACCTTTAGAATCTTGAAGTCTGGCCACCAAAAATCTAAGTTCAACAAGAAATGCCCAAACTTCTGCACCTGAGGCAGAATAACCCCACAAATCAGTAGAGGCTAATAGCCAGCTGGATAAGTAGCAGGGTTACTGTGAATACCAAGTTGAATACAAGCCAGGAAGGTGCTCTTAGTACAAATAAGACAAGCCTCATACGGGACTACACAAGCAGGAGTATGGCCAGCAGATCAAGTAAGGTTATCATCCTACACTCAATATTTGTGCTGTAACATCTTAAATATTGTGTCCAGTGTTGGATCCACAGAGTTCAAGAAAGATGCGGAGATGTGGACATGGCTGGGGGCCTAGAGCACGTGACCCACAAGGAGAGGTCAATGGACCTGGACTTCTTCAGTCAGACAAGAAGCATGCTAATGAGTAACCTTAATAGCAGCCTACAACTACCTGAAAGGCAGTTACAAAGTTGTCAGAAGACAAATACTCCTTGTTAATGGCAGACAATATAACATGAGGGGAGAGACCACAAACTGTGGCTTGGGTAGTTCAGACCTGACATTAGGAAAGAAGGTGAATAGTGTAGCCCTCAGGCAGGTTATCCAAAGACTAACGGACCAGAAAAAGTAGTTGGATCATGTGAACCAATCTCCACCCTTTTGATTTTTTCAGGCTTGGCTAGACAAAGACACAGCTGATGTGATCTATAATGGATCTATAATGATCTACAACTTCAAGAAGACTGGACAAGACAAGCCCCTGCTGGTCCCTTCCAACCAACACTTCTGTGATTTAACACTCAAAATTACTTTTGTTTCATTTTCCTGTTTGCTTGCTGCAGTGGTATGTAAACCACAGACAAAAAGTCTGTCAATAGACTCTCAAGAGATTTTATTTTCATACAAACCAACACAAGTATCTCAAACGGCCACATCAGACCTATTTTTAAACACCTAAGGGTCTAATTTTATTAAGAAGCCAAAGCAATATATTTTCCTTGCACACAACTAAAGCTAGAACTCCTTGCCATTTTGACTCATGCTTCAGTATTAACTTTGAGATTTCAAAGGCTCTTCTTACAATGACAACAATGTCTAAAGCAGGTGAGCAAATTACCTTTATAAAAGCACGTGACACCATGTTTTAAGATTACTCACTTTAAACTGCAAGTAGTGCACTGGGGGTGGTGTGATAACACTGTTGAATGGAGCAAACCTGTGCTCATATCGAACTTGTTCGCTATCCAGTTCAAACTTAGGTTTTCTTACTTTGCCATCCATGTCAAATGCGATCATTGTCTAAAAAGGAAAGGATAAATATAGTGAAAAGTGTTAGCTTTATGTCATATTTTGCTGTGAGCAAGATGAAAGTTATGATTTAGCTATAACAGGGAGGATAGAAAAATAGTAGAGAATTTACCATATCACTTTATAAACTTGAACTTAATTTCCAGGCACACTAAAAACAAAGACGGCATGCAATGTATGCTTGATTCCTATTATAAAAAAATGGAGCCATTGTTCAGCAAGCACAAATAAATTACCTTGTACATCCCAGCACACATATTTTGGTATGCTTGACTCATGGTGATCTCTCTGCTGAGAGGGCGAACTGCAAATTTCACATAAAAATATTTTTTTTACTCAACATATGTACACATTTTAATTCCAGATCAAAACAGTTCTTTCAAGTTTTCAGAAAGTGACACAATTCTCTTATATTTTAAAATAACGGAAGAAAACTGAAGCACAAAAAGCATGGTCATGCATTTCTGCTCACCTGGCTCCTGATTACACAAAGTATCTCAAGACATAGTTAACAGTCACATGAACACCATGCTGCCATCAATGAAATAAACTGGTCCAGACAGTCAATGGTATTAGCATGTCACTATACAACACTAAACAATAGCCTAGAATTTAAAGCTTGTAGTTGAGAGGCCTGTTTGCTTAGTTAATGGATTTTTTTTAAACTTTTAAGACTAAAAGGTTAAAGTATTTTTATCCTAGTGAACAAGATTTTTGTCCTGCTAATACTCCTTTAAGCTGCCCCCTAGCTTCCAGTGTTTAACTAGTGCCAAATTATCCCACACTTGGCAACTTTTTAAAAAGTAAAAAATACAGTAGTAATTTTCTGAATTTCTAGACACAAGGGAATTTAGTTCACATGACCTTGATCTAATTGCTTGTTCCCATTGAAAAGAAGACAAAGATAAACACAGCAAAAAGAAGGAATAGCAAAGAACAAAAGTGAGCTTCTGCATGGTGTTTATTTGCAACGTTAATACTAAGATAACTCCAACATACTACAATCTTAGTAGCCACTTAGGCATGGCAAATATGTATCAGATGCTCTTTAGACACCAGTTTTGGATGCCTTTTTGGTAGGAGGCTTACAGTTCTGACCACAGTGCCAGACCTCTCATATAGGAAGGGAAATTCTCATTTTCTCTCATGCATATACACCAGAGAAAGCAAGAGTTTCTAAAGGGGCTTTTGCACAACAGTACTACCACTGAATTGAAATGGCCCAACTCAGCATTGTAAAGTTAAGAAACATGCTTGAACACCTTCTGAAGCCAAAGAAAAATTGCACAAGTACACTGAAAGTTTAGTCTTTGACTCCACCTACAGTCACAAAACCCAAAATTCTGCAGGAATTATAGACTGTAGAAAAGTAGTATTTTTCATATTTTTAATTACATCTCACAGGATCCAACACATAACGCAACTGGTGAAGCTGTGAATATAAATGAGTTTGGGTTTTTTTATAAAGACCTGTTTAAAATTAAGTAAATAAATAAATGGGAAATTCTTATACAGCAACTGACTTTTTAAAAAAGTTCAGGATGTTTTTCCTGCCCACATCAGTGTTGACTCTATAAATTTTGAATTTTAATTCTACATGGCTGCATGAAGGAGAAAAAAAAAAGTCTGAGTTACACTCTACACCTAGATACCTTTTTTCTTTTTCTTTGTCTTCTTACTACTACGGCCTTTCTGTTGTTCCTCCATTATTCTTTCCTCCGCCATTTGAGAGCTGTCAGCGCGGCTCAGTGTTGACATCAACCAGGCATAGAGGAACTCTGATAGGTACCTACAGTAAAAACAGTATGTAGCTGTTACATACTGCAGTGCAAAATGTATTCGTAATGCACACACCCTCACTGAATGCCAAGTTGTCTACTCAAAGAACTAATAGTAAAGGACAACTTTTAGGGCAATTAAAACTCTTTGTTTTGCATGGCTGAAATCAACAGATTAGTCTGTGCTGGTTTGTTTAAAAAGACTCTACAGATTCAACCATAGACGGCTCAAGGAATGCAAATTTCTTATACGTTTACTAAGCGAAGTCTAACCTTCTTATTATTTCAAAACCCATATAAGATCAAATTTTTCTAGAATTTTTCCCCCAGCAAATGAAGCATTTTTTAAAAAGATACCTTTTCTAATTTTTTTAGGAATTACTGTTTTGAGAAATAAGGTTATTACTGATTTTTTTCAAGCATTAAAAAGCCAAGCCCACAGGAACATGAGATCCACAGGCAATTTTTTAAGATTTAAAAGAATTTAAGAAATCTTTAAGAGTGATTTCTTAGTAAGTGGAAGTGGGTCCAATAAATCTCTTGACTGACCTCAAATCAAAAGGAAGAGGGGATAAAAGAGAATAGAAATTACAGATCTAGAGCACATGAAGAAGAAATAATACTTCGTAAGAAGTCATAATTCAGAAGGAAAAGTACTGAGAAAAAATTATGAATTTCATTTGCACATTTCCCCTCTAGAAATTTCCTCTTTTTTTTTGTTCTTCACTTAAAGTAAGGAGATAAAGCAGTTGACATACCAGTTCCAATTAAGAGTGATTTTATTAAAATGGTGAGGGGAAATACAGGTGGGTAAAAAATACTGTCTTACAGAAAACTAGGTATTACTTATTGAGGTATTACTTAAAGAATACTGCCACCTTCAGGTAACTATCTGGAGTATTAATTTTTCTCAATGCTTAATCCACTAACAGCATAGAAATATAATGAGATGCATTGGAAGTTCAAGTTGTTTGAACTGGTCTAATCTCTCAGAAAGAAGGCTTACAGCTTACCTAATAAGAATTTATCGGTAGCTTTACAGAAGAAAAAACATCACCAAAACCCAAAACACCTAAGCACAAAAGCACTTTAACATAGGAAGGTTCAACATCAAATTTTTAATGCTGAATCAAAAATGAACCATCTAAAATCATTTACCTTTTGGAGCAAGCCATCAGTTATGAAAAATAATTAATGTGAATGGAAGTAGAAAAATAAAAAGTGTTTTGACTCCATATAGTGCAATCATTTTCACTAAGCCGATGTCTCTTCAAATATGCTCACAGAATAAGATGTTATTTTTACCTAGTCAACTTTCAGATGACCATCACAACTTGAAACTTTGCAGATCTTTTTAAAAATACTAGAGATCAACAAGACAGAAAAGAATAAAGGAAATTGCTTTCCTCTTGCATTCTCTTGTCTGCCAAAATTGGCATATTTTCCATTCATTATCATTAGAAGACACTGTTTTAAAAAGCTAGAGACTGAATTACTATTTCAGGAAAAAAAAAAAGTACACTATTCAGTAAGTCTAGAAAAGAGACCAACAGATTTTTTTTCCTCCACTTGTGATTTTATGAATAGGTAAACTAGATACCGTGTTGAGCATGCTTGAGATTAAAAAATCATAGTTGAAGTCCCTCCTTTAAATATTTGCAATTATAGCTCTGTGGGAGCTGTCAGTAACACATCCTCTTACCAATATATGTAGTAATATTCATGCATACTGTAAAGTTCCAATTCAAAGCCACTCAGAAGATACTGTATCATAATACGAAGGTTATGATATAGGACCCAGGTGCCCAAGCAAGCCAGATGTTGCCTTTGTGGTTCCTGCTTCAGTAACATACTATGAAGTGCTGCATCTACTTTCTCTGCCTATTGAAAAACAGAGCAAAGTAACAGGGGAGGAAGAACATTTGACTGAAATGGCATCCAACTTCTGCCAGAAATAAAATCTTAACAGAATTGGGTCAGTAAAGTCATACTGCAGATTAAAAGACAGAAATATGTTTTTACAGATTTTGGCACCTCTGTAGTCTAAAATTGTCAGAAAACTGGAAACTTACTCACATAACTCCAAGTAAATTCTGCTGCACAGAGGAAAAAAAATATTCTATACAGTAACACAGCAAGAACATTACATTTTTTTAAATTCAAAATTTTAAGAAGTGTTTATATATACATTTTTAGCAGTTACGTAAGCACTGAAACTCAGAACCAATTACAAGCTGTTACACATTTTACTATATTGGCAATAATTACTTTTTCTTTTTTTTTTTAAAAAACCTAGCTGCATTGAAAAGTTAAATTTATGAGCTTAACATGCAAGAAACACACTGTGGCCCACCAGAGAAACTAAAATATTGCTGAGACCAATTCAGTGTTAAAAAGTAATTGTATGAAAGACATGAAGTCTCCCCCAGTTGGAATATTATCAGTAGTCCTGAACAAATCAATCCATATAATCTGTTACAAAGTGAAAAATCAGCTGCAGTACTACAACAAAGTCTCAACAAAACCATCCTGAGAGAAGCTGGAGCACACAAAATCTCCCCCTCAAGTCCAAGTTCCTCGACTGCTCTCCTTAGCCCACATCTTGGAAAATATTACTTCATGCCTCTCACTGCTGAAGATACACATTTCCAGGAAGTGAAAATATACCTTGACCTATCATCTTTCACTCCCCATTCTTGAGAAATGTTCAAAATCAGTTGAAGCACATATTTTTAAGAGTTATTATTTAATTCACGAGTATTTTTTAAAACCTTTATAAAATTTTGCTGTTTACATGTTACATAGCTATAAGACCAAATTGTCAAAGGTGTCTTGTAAACATGGCTCATCTATCTCTCCCTGGTTGCACGTTGCAGACTGACAGTTACAAGCAGGATAGAGGCTACAAGCAGTGGAATTACCATTAAATTCTAGATATCACAGCATGTTTTCCTGAAGTCTACTTATTGGACAAAGTTAATCTTAAAAAAATGTAGTAACTTTTTGTTCAACAGATGTAACAGAAAGTCTTTGGATATATCCCACAGGCTTTCTGGGCTGCATTTTAGGAATCCTTGTCCTAAAGATTTTAGGACAAACAGAAAGGTTGCTTCATTCATCTAGAATCTAATACCACATGCTCAACTCTGGTAGGAATATACCTGGAAAGAAAAGTTTGCTGGTCTGCTGCCTAGGACATTACCTCATCCTGGAGGGTGGCAAATTCCTCAAGAATGTGACCTAGTTTATCTCTCTGACGAGCTCTATTGTGTCCATGGATTTGAATCAGACTACAGAATGGCTGAAAGAAACAAAGTGTAGTTTTAAATTTTCAATGTAACTTTGAAACCACAGGAGAAGTACTATGATGTCTAGGCACCCATTTTATACATCTATATCAGGAGGTGGTTCCTTAAGGCTCCCTACGGAGTGCAAGCTAGCAGGCAAGCAAGCTCTCTGGACTGATGCAAGAGCCCTTTTCTCTGTAGACAAGTCAACATGAGATTGAGCGAGCATCCTTTAGGAATCTGATCAGAACAGAATGCTTGGGCCAAGAGAGATATTTCTTATGCCTAAATCCATGTGCCCAGGTGGCCAAGGTGGCCAATAGCATCCTGGCTTATATCAGAAAAAGTGTGGCCAGCAGGACTAGGGAAGTGATTGTCCCCCTGTACTCAGCACTGGTGAGGCCGCACCTCAAGTACCGTGTTCAGTTTTGGGCCCCTCACTGCAGGAAAGACATTGAGGTGCTGAAGTGTGTCCAAAGAAGGGCAACAAAGCTGGTGCAGGGTCTAGAACCAGTCTTATGAGGAGCGGCTGAGGGAACTGGGGTTGTTTAGTCTGGAGAAGAGGAGGCTGAGGGGAGACCTTACCGCTCTCTGTAACTGCCTGAAGGGGGGT